CTGATCAGAGTTACTTTCTGTTCAGAGTTACTTACTGATCATAGATACTTACTGTTCAGAGTTACTTACTGATCATAGTTACTTACTGATAATAATATAATTTTTATTATTATTGCATTACTTAAGTAGGATATAATCTTTCTTTCTGTTAAGAGAATTGTTTTAAATTTTAAAGTTGCTAACATTTTCTTTTTCATATATTTCAAAACCTTTTTCTATTGATTTTTACCTTGTTTGCTGCTCATTTTTTATTGAACATAAATTTATTTAAGAAGATCAAATTCTATTAGTTTTAACTTTCGCTTTTTAATACCCTTTTTTGCAATAATTTATTGCATCCTTTGATCCCCGATCATTGATGTTATTCCACTTTCATTGCAGAAATTATTGAATACATTTCAGGGCTTTTCCGTTGTGCGTTTTTCCTTAATTTACCTCTCTTTACGGGGTTTTCCGAACTGCCTTGCAATGACAAAGTTTCCGCATTAGCAAACAGAAACTGTGCCACATATTAGGGCGCTTCATTACCCACCTTGCCAGGATCCCATTTACAAATAAGCCCCCATTCCTTGCACTTTCCTTTATTGTTGTTCTGCTTGTGTTTTCTTCATTGCTCTTTTTTTTCCATTTTTTTTTTGGTTGTATGATTTTGCGGCTCATTTGGTTTTATTAAAATTTGCACGTTTTTCACGCTTATCACCGCTCACAAGCTTTGATTGTGGCTCATCCCTCCCCGCATCCTCTTTTGGTTCTCGTTTTACAACAGAAGACATCATCATCATCATCATCCCTTATGTGAGCTTTAACTTTTATGCTAATTTCCAAAAAGTGAAATGAATAAATGTCTTTTTGGTTTGTGGCTCCATTCCGCCTTTTTCCTTGCCTTTATTATTGTTATGGAAATTTTTATAGTTTCCCCATCATTTAGCTGCACACACACACACGGACCTCTAAACGCTTTTTCAATTCAAAAGTTGCCGAAACATTTTCTGAGGGTGGAAAAAAAGGTACTCCATATATATATATATATATATATATATGCATAACCATGAGAAGTGGTTGGGCGAGGTTATACAAATTTTGCTGTCATTTGTTCTAAGAGAATTGTGTATGCAATAAATAAAAATTACACGTTCAACATTTTCTATCTGGGCGCTATGATCTCTTTTTATTTTTAACAATAGCCACAGTGAGGGTTTTCCGCCCTCACCTGCTAACCCTTGGCTGTTTTTTTTTCCTTCGCCAGTCCTTTGTATCCTTCTAATTGGATATGTTCGACGTTCGTCTTTGACTTTGGCCTTTGACTTGACCGAACGACGGGGGTAGAAAATTCCGTTAGAGGGTACGAGTTTCCCAGGACCAAGACAGGGTTGGGGATGGGAGGACGTACGGATTGAAAGAAAATGTCGCTGGCAACTCTTTTTTGCCATTGTTGGGGGGCAACCCTGCCGGGCCAATCAGAACTTATGTTTACCCCAATTAAGGTGAACACGAGACCGTTTTTGCGATCCAATGAGTTAGAAACAAGATAAAGGACCCAAAGCCCGAACAATAAGCCCAAGTCCTGCTGCTGCCATCCGGAGTTCCCTGCTCCTTGGTCTTCCTGCTGCCAGTTTTTAGGACCTTGTTCCTAGATCCACTCACTGCCTGGCCACACTGTGGAAATAATTCTGTAAACTATTAAATCTTAAGTCGTGTGGAATTTGTATTTAAAGTAAGAGAGTATAATCTTTCTTTAATCCTATAGATCTGTATATACAAAGGTATATACTTTGATTTCTATTAATTTCGTTCAGTGCATGGCTAGCCGCCTGCTGCCATGCATGTTTATGTGTCCCTCGTCCTTTGCACAACAATGCCGCAGGATCGCTGGGCTGTGGGGCAAGGACCAGCTCTGAATGCCGAAGCAATGATTAAAAATTGTGCAAGCGTGTGGCGGCCAGCGATGTCGATTGCGGTTCAACTTTTAGTCGCAAAACGGCGGCAGGCAACACACTCCACACACCACACTCCTCACACACACACATAGTAGAGGAGAGGGAAAAGGCTTGGAAAAGTCGCAAAATCCAAAAACCAAAGTCGTTCGCTTTTATTGTCATTTTGTATGCGTGCTGGCCAACATTTGGCGATGAAACTGGGGCGGGGGTGCGGGTGCCGAAAGGATCTAACCATAGCCAGAGGCCCCAAGTGTCCCCAAAGCCTGGCACTTGAGATGCCAAAAGGAAAAGCCACCGGGCTCAGGGAAAAACTGCAGCTAAAAAGAGGTAAATAAAAGTGAAGTCAAATTTCGGGAATTAAATAAGTTTGCCAAGGGATCAGGAGATATGCCATCAAATTGGTTCTTTTTTTATGATAAGAATAACTTGTTTTCTATGAGCTAATTTTTTCCAAGGTTCAGTATGCATTAGGTATAAATAGTTCTATTAAAAACAACACATATTTAACAACAAAGAATTTAAAAATCCTAACTCACGACCTATCCTCGTGACTCACGTTCTGTGTCCTCGTGAGCCACTTAGTTCCGCTTCTACTTGAGAGCAGCTTTAACCCTTTCCTGCCTGCTAACGGCTGATAACTTGCAGGCAGCACGACCAGCTCTCAATTCAGCCTCAAAATACTCATTAGCCATAACGACCGGCCTCCATGGAGGCCCAGCGAGAGGCTATAGCAGGAGTGGGTAGAGGGAAGCGAAGGACGAAGGACATGCCCAGCTGTGTCGATGTCAATGCCTATCTATTGTCAGCCATCAGCCACGCATGCAGCGTCGGATCAAAAGGACCAAGGAGCTGGAGATGGGAGCCGCAGGGTTGAGTCCTGCTCCTGGTTCTCCCGGCTTTTGTCCTTCCGGGTGGACGAGGATGCTGCTGCGATTGCCATTATAAACTGAGAGAAATGTGGGTAGTTTTTAAAGGATATCCAAAAATATATAAGGAAAGGGAGGAATTAAAACCTATAACAAAGCATAAATGTTAAACTCTTTCTTGTAATATTTATTTATTTTTTTTATAAGTCGTTCTTCGGTATTATTTTTCTTTAACTTTCGCTCAGTGCAGATTGAAACTGGAGACGCCGCCTATCTGCGCCTTTCCACTATTTACACACGGCTCATTTTATCTAGTTCGATTGGCCATTTATCTGGAAATGTTTTGTCTGTGCTTACCTTTCCCTGGCCCTGCCGGGTTTCATTTTGAATTTTGCCCCCCCTATAATTGGAGAGAGAGGGAGACTATCGGTTTTTGAATCTTAATTTCGTTGAACGTAGGAGCAGGAGCTGGAGCCGGACAAAAGTTAACTAAGCAAAAGGCATACAAGAACCCAACATATATGCCTGGGCCTGGAATCGCAACAAATGGAAATTTTGTCAAGCCTGAAATCCTTTTATAATGACAAAAGGTTTCCACCTCTAAGCCGATTACAGCAACAGCAACAAGCAGAGGCAACTGTAGCAGTGGCAACTTCAGGTAATACTTACCCTTAGAGCCACCTGCTGTTTTAACAGGAAAACGAAGGTGGAAAAGGACTTTTCAAGTGGAGCTGATGGTGGAGGCGAAATGTACCTGTTTTTCTAATTAGTTGACAGTGCAGTATATATAAGCAAGTTGCCTAGTGATCGACAGGGATTTCATAAATATACATATATAAATTCATACATTTTCCAACAAAATTATATTAATATATAACAACATTTTTACAAAAAAACAATACTTTTCCCTTCCAACTTTGCGAAAACCTACCTGCTGCCCAAAAAAGTATACTACGAATAAACAGAGTCGCCGAATTGTCTGCTCAAACAAAATTGTTGCATCTTTTGGGCTGAACTAATGGCGGTAATGCCAAGTCATGGCATACTTCTGGTGGGCATGATGGCCGACAGCACCGGAAGTATGGCAGCCATGCAAAATATCGCGGAATCCTAATAAAAATTACGTATACGCACTGTATAAGTATTAGTATTTCAAATTAATGGAAAATTTGAGAAAAAATAAATAAAAACAAAGAAATTAATTAAAAATAAATTAATTAAAAAATTAAAAAAATAAAAATTAAAAAATTAAAAAACTAAAAAAATAAAAATAAAAAGTTGAAAAATTTAACAATTTTAAAATTTTAAAATAAAAAAATTAAAATATTAAAATTTAAAAAATTAAAAAAAAAATAAAAAAAAAATAATAATAAATAAAAAATACAAAAAATTTATGTTAAAATAAAATAATTAGAAAATAAATAATAAAATAATTAACAAGTCAATTTTTTAATTTATAAATACATGTTTCTTTAAAGCAACCCTTGACTTCATGCATTTAATTCATTTGTACTGGAAAGAGTTAATATTTAGGTGTTCTGATTTTTTTAATGATAAAATATTTAAATATTGATACAATTAATAAAATTAATTATTAAATTAAATATTTATATATCTTCAAGGGTTTATATTTATATATTGAAAACTACAACTTACTATGTGTTTTTAAAACATTTCTCTGTATGTTTTTTTATTTACAGATGTCTAATTTCCTACGCCAGCCAATGGTAAGTTTTTTATAAAATATATAATATAAATATAATATATAAATATATTCTCATGGCCTCCTTGATATTACCCAACACTTAATTGAATTAACTGAATTAAACAACTTTTCCATTTAGTAATTCTGCTTGCTGATATATTGCTTGCATTTTTATTATTATAAATATAAAATATTGTTTAAATGTGTTTAATTGATTTACTTAAATATTTGAAACTCTCTGCTGCTCGGCATCTCAAATTTGTTGCATTTTCTCCAAATGGAAATTATTTAGGTAACCCTTAAAAGGGCACAACCCTATGGAAATTTTTCTTTTCTATTGTTCCAGAACATTAATTCAAATAGAATTATTGGATTTTGATAGAGAATGTTTATGGTTCTTCCTTGGCAATTTTGCTCTTCCGGAATAATGTTGGAATGGATAGTGTGTTAGCAGACTAATAGATTCAAGTGAGTGTGTGGCAGATTGTGTGGCTTGATGTGTGTGTCTTGATGATCCTTACATTTCGGCGATTTCGGGATCACTAAGATCCTCTGACAAAGCCAGATGCGACCTGCCCATGCGCAGTCCCGAGGGCAAAATAAAGCGCACCTGTGGCACCTCGGCGGTGGGCAGGCTATGATGTGTGATCGGCGGCTCGGTTCCGGCAAGGCGGAAGCCACCAACGGAACGGAAATGATGTATGGTGGTCAGGTGGCTAAACAGATTGTTAACCCTGGCCGGATGAGCCATTGGCACCGCCACGCACAGCGGACAGATGACGGCCGTGCGAGCTTCACGATGTTTCATCTGAACATGCGACATCAGATCATCCGCCGAAAGGCCAAGCTCACCGCAATTTGGACAAGTGAAGCTATCGGCAGAAAGATCCGGAATCTGTTCGCCGCCATAATGAAGCTCAAGAGTGGCCCGATCCATAAGGCACTGAAAGGGATGGGTCACATCATGGCCCACGGTATTAAGGCCCAGCTCAAAGCAGGTGGAGCACAGGTCATAGTCCTCGCAGCGCAGGCATTTGTATCTATAGTTGACCATGCCCCAGGTTTGGCAACTATCACAGGTCACCTCATAGAATTGATCCATGTTGAAGGATTGCAATTGGCGGCGCAAGTGGAGGAACAACGAGTCTGGAACTAGTAAGAAAAAATATCTCTGACATCCTTCTGGTATTTAAATAAAAGTGTGCCTTACCTAAGACTTGTGAAGAGCTGGCTTGGTAACTGGAATCCTTTCAGATAATCGCCTCTTTAGATGGTTTCTTTCAATACAAGAAAGAGCGACAAGTCCACTTGCAGGGATCACTGGTGGAATGAAAGGAGTTCCCACCAAATATTAGACTTGAAAGCACTTAAAGATATTGAAGAACCTTGCTCTTCAGCACTCTATATAAATTTCCCTTTTAAAAATCGGTGCTACTTACCGGCAATATTTTGTATTTCACTAAAAAAGTAAAGTATTTAGCAAAATGTGGTATAAAATCCAGTTAACCAGAGTGTTGTCCTTTGTCTTTGTGTTGATTTTCTTCGTTGGATTTGCTACAATTTTCTTGGCCAAAAAAAATATAGTTTTACAAGTATTTTAGTTTAACTTCCTCGAAGAGAAATTTTCACAATGAATGAAGCATAAGAAATTAATACCAAAGACTACTGAGATGAGTTACAAAAACATTTAAAGTCGCAGAGTTGAGTAGGTTAAGTAGGCAACTCTAAGATTATAAGATATAGATTATTAGTAAATTAAAAGTTATACAAACATTCAAGAAGGTTAAAGCAACCCTTTCTTTACAATTTTCCTATACAAAATTTTTAGCACTTCCTCCATAAATTCATCTTTTGATTTTCATTTAAAAAGGAATTCATTTCCTTAGCTATTTTTCTCTTATTGCTAATTTTCTTTCGGTGCTTGGTATATTTCGAGCCAGATACGTTTTGCATAGAGTTGCCCCTTGAAAATGACTTCCCCACAAATGCAACTCTGCCTTGTTTTTGGTTTCGTTTGTTCGCGCTTTGTACATAAATTTCATGCAAATTGACTAATTAATTTTTGCGCAATGGATTCTTATCGCGCACATGCACTGGGCAATATATTTAATATTTGCATAATGCATATGTATTGGTTCGGTTCAACGGGGTTCATTGGTGAGGGGGTGCAGGAAAAAGGACACTGGCGAAGGGAGACCAAAGGCAGCCCACGCACCTTGGCCTAAAGGCTCTCTATAGAGGTGCTCTGCACTGAGAAAAATCTCCTGAGGCAAATGAAATGGAATTTTGGGTTTTAAAATAATTACATATTTTTTTCTGATTAAAAATATAGTAAAATAGGAAAACTTTTAATGATACATAGAAAAGAATATGATTTGACATCATATTTTCTGTAAGGAAATTCATAGAAGTGTTACCTTTATATTTAACTTAATTTATTCCTAAAATTTGACATCATATTTTCTGTAAGGAAATTCAATTAAAGGGTTACCGTTTTATTTAACTTAATTTTTCCTAAAAAAACATTACTATTTCTAAAAAATTTCTATTAAATATTCAAATAAATTAGGAAAGCATTGCATAGCACGTTTTCTAGCAGTGTAAAGCATTTCGTCGGTGCTGTAAAAACAACAATAAGTTCAAATAATTGCTACCGTTTTATTTAACTTAATTTTTAAACCTTGAACCCTCACTTATTCAAGAAAAATCTCTATTAAATATAGAAATAATTTAGAAATCCATATCCTTAGACATTTTTCTAGCAGTGTACAAGCTCCTCGTACTATAGTAAAAACAGCAACAAATTCGGATAAATGTTACCGTTCTATGTAACTTAATTTCTACCCCAAAAACCCCACTTATTCCAGAAAAATCTCTATTAAAAATAGAAATAGTTTAGAAATCCATATCCTTAGACATTTTTCTAGCAGTGTACAAGCTCCTCGTCGGTGCGGTAAAAACAACAGCCGTTTTAATGACGGATATTAAGCATAACCACACAACTAAACGAAGAGCCCGGGGAGGAGGTTTGCCTGCCTGCCTGCCCTGGCTTTTCGGGACTCCTTTCATGAACGACGTGGCCCCGGGAAAACTGCACAATGATTTTCTCCATGCTGCTGCTCCCGCAGGACACCCCGACAGCGACAGCAACAGCGACAGCGCCTGACTTTGAGCCTGCCAAATATGCTGATTGCAGCAATAATGATGATTATGTTTGCCCTGCATGCGCGGCTCGAATTTGTTAGCCACAAACGGAAGGAAGTCGAGAGCATTGACAATGCCAGCGACACGAAACAAACCCCCTTCCCGAATCCATGAATCCGCGGGTCCTCGGTGTCCTCGTAGTCCTCGTAGTCCTCGGAGTCCTCAAAGTCCCCGAAGGTCGCTCTAGCCCCAAAGGCAGAAGCCCCCAAAAGGGGTGCCAGCAGTGCAGCCACAATGACGAGCTGCAAAGGCATTTAACGACTTGCAAATGCGACGGCTCTAGCAAACTTGACTAACTGACAAACTAACTGACTGACTGACTGACTGACTGACTGACAAACCGACCAACTGACAGCCGACAAATGCAGAAAGGCGAAAAAGGAGCAGGGGAATATCCAAAGGCAGTTCAGGGAAATATTAAAAGACCGCAGGACAGTTGCTCGCCAGGAGGAATACACTTTTTCCTAGAAAAAATTAATTCTAAAATTATGTTTTATAGATGACGAAAACTCCATATTTAATTATAATATTATTTGGAATTTTTCTGAAACATTTCTAATAGTATTTATTATTTAGTTTTGTCTGTTTTTGAGGTTTTTAATAATATTTCCTAGCAGTTGGAGCTCCGAAAATCTATATTTAATTTTTTATTAAAGTTTTATAGATGACCATAAAATCTATATTTAATTTAAATAATATTTGGACTTTTTCTTAAACGATTCTAAAATTATTTATTAATTAGTTTTGTGAGTTATTTTAATAATGTTACCAAGTAGTTCCAAAAATCTATATTTAATTCTGAAATTATGTTTTCTAGGTTTCCCAACATCTATAGATAATTTCAATATTATTAGGCCTTTTCCTGAAAGATTTCTAAAATTATTTACTAATAGTTTTGTTATATTTGAGTTTTTCAATAATGTGTTCAAGCAGTTGAACTTCCAAATAACTATATTTAATTCTAAAATTATGTTTTATAGAATCTAAACTCAACTGCAATATTGTTAAGCCTTTTTCTTAAACATTTAAAGAATTTTTTACTAATTAGTTTTGTTGGTTTATTAATAATTTTTCCATACTGTTGGGGTTTTAAATATCTATATATAATTCTTAAATTAGGTTTTATTGATTTCCCAAAATCTATACTTAATTTCTATATTAATGAGACTTTTCTTAAATATTTCTAACATTATTTACTAATTTGTTTTGTTAGTTTTTAAGTTTCTCTATTATGTTGCCACACCTTTGGAGGTATTTAAATATGTTCCTATAAAAAAGCCTAGGGAATGTGTTAAAAATCACCTAGATTAAGCTGTAAAGTTCGGTTTTTTTTTATTACTTTCTAAATCTATGAAAACAATCAAAGAACCCCGACTTAGGTTAGGGCATACACTGTGCAACAAAATTATTGCATTGCGTGCATAAACTTTAGCAAATGGGCCTGCGTATCCAAAACGCAGTTAGCTCCCGCTCCCGTTTCCTTTTTTCCACAATTTTCCGCTTTTCCCCTCTACCCTCTACCCTTCTTCCCTTTCCCATTTTATTTTTTTCCCATGGCACTTTGCCATTTTAGCCCTCGGAAAACCGGCTTTTCTATTCCGGATGAGTCTTGGGCTGTGTGTGGCCATATTAGCAAAGTGAATTGGTTTTTATTTGTAACGGAAATGTGGAAAATTATTTTCAGCTGTTCGGTCGCTCGGTTGGTCGTTTAGTGATTTGCATAAGTCGCAGGTGACAGTCGTCTCTGTTGGTTCCCAGGCATGAAAGAACCCCACAATCACTACACAGGGAGAAAATTTCTATACATTTTAGAGGGGAGATTTTATAGAGTACAGAGGGTGGAAATTAATATTATAATAGAGTTACGAAGAGAGATTTAAAAGGAAAGCCAAGATGAGATAGATTCATGTTATTTTTTAAATACAAATAATTAAAAACAAGACCAGCTATCCTTTACCTTGAGTTTTAAGTCCTTAAATATATTTAATATATTTTCTTAATATTAAAAAAATATATATAGTTATTTTCCTTTAATTTTAAGTGTCTGACAGAGGACTTTAGAGTGGCCCCTGCAAATTTAAAAGCAGCAGCTGTAGCTTAGCTCGACTTGCCTCTTACCATGTATGCGACCAAAGCGGCTTAAGTTTGCACTGGAAATGGGGGAACGAGACCAGGAACAGGACTACAGGACCGGGAGAAGATATCCTGGAATCCGAAAATCAGTAGCTCCAACGTACTTGGTGTCCTCAACTCGTTTGCTTCGCTTTCGAAATGAAAAGGGCTGACCGGCGTTGATAAGAGCTCCCGGCAGATGATTCCCAGTCGCGGACTTTTTCTTTCGCCAGTTATAAACACACACACAAGACAGACACTTGAATCCAAACGTTTTGTTTATGTCTCGAAATTATTTGTTATTTTTTGCAATAGGGGAAAAAAAATTGTAATAAAAAGCTGAGAGGGGCAGCGATCGAGTAGAACTTGAATGGTAAGCGGATTTTCACCATTTGCCATCTTGATGATTGATTCAATCCATATTTTATTTCGTTTGGATTTTGTAGGCCATTTGCCAAGCGGTTTCAGTATTTATTTATAGGTTTTTTTCCTATTTCTTTATTTATTTATTTTTTTTTTGCTTTAGCACTCCGAACACTCATAAATTTTATGTTTTAGCTAAGAGGGGAAAGGGAAGATAAACAAACAGCAAATTTCAGGGAAATCCATACATTCATCATGCTTGATTTTGGGTTAAAATTATGACAAACTTGTAGGTTCAAAAAGATTTGAGATATAAAAGATGTATTATATAATATTCTATATATTCATGATATATAATATAAAAGATTATGATCTAATTATATTAATTTATGAATGTTCAAGTATTAATTGAACTTATTAGTTTAGAAATATAACATAAACACAACTTTTAGATATGGTTAAAGGTAAATAGTTTTTTTTATTTTGTAGGAAAACATTTTTCTCAGCTTGAACTCTAGACTTAAATAAAATTATTAGGAACCTAAATATTTCTATACTTAATCTCCCTTGAAATAAATTCTAAATAATTATCTATATAAAGTAAAAGAGTAAGCTTGTAAGTATTATAACTTCGTTCTTCATTTCTCTCAGTGCCTAGCTATCCATTGGTATTTCTGCTTTACAATTGCAGTGGGAAGATACACATTTATAGGCATTTTTTTTATATTGTTTACAAACTAGGTGTATCCGATTCCATAATGCCACATTTATGAGGCGAGCATAAACAATAGAACTTGGAAAAGTACGAAGTATTTACAGCAAAGTTTCTATACATTTGAACCCCTTACCAATATGCACTATTTTGGGTATTGAACGACAGAAATGGATCTTGGCAAGTTAATTCAATTTATATTTCATTCCTTGACATTTGGATGGAGGTCCTGCGAGGCTTGGCATGTGGTAGATGAATGGAGGCTG